CACACTCTACATCATTGATCACTTTCCTCTTTGGCCCCATAATCTCCTTGATCAGAAAATTTGGGACACTACTGAGTAACGTGACATTACAGTACAAGTTAACCTGTAGTATTTAGATGACAGTGGAATACCCATCTCTGACAGCACTAAACAAAAAAAGGGAATATAAAAGAAGGACCATTTTCTATCTATATATGCAGAATAGTTAGGATAGATATATAGCTACTTTCACTTAATTCAATGAGAAGAAAGATTTGTACTAATAGTCTTTGGACAGGATATTCTGTCTGCATGTTGAACTATGGAAAACCACTAAGAAGTTAACAATGTACAATGTATTAATTATTGAAACTGTACTATTAATCAGTTTTGAAATTGTCTCATTGCTATTTGTTTCTCAATAAAATAAAATAAAAATAAAAAATTAAGCAAATTTTTCACAACTCTAACTCTGAGCATCTAAAAAGTGGATGTTTTTGTTCTGGTAGGAAGTTATTCATCCCCTTGCTCAAGGGACATGTTATCTCTACCCAGGAGAGGCAGAAAGCACAGACAAGAAGTGAAGTGCAGTCATTTCTAAGTGAATCCTACTAATAGATTTGCTTCACTTCACATGAAATATGTAGCCCTTGTAATCTAATTCCAAATCAGATTTTTACACATTTCAAAAGTAAAAAGGGTAACTATTTTCATTTTCAGAAGGCTGTAATGCCTTAAGATCCATTCCATTATGCGTGGTGCAATGCCAAATGCCAAGCAATGGTTCCTGACAGTCACCTGTAGTGCCTTTGAACAAAAACAGTATTTCCTCCAGGGGAATGAAGTAAGAAACTTCACTTAAACTATTAAAATGAGATGGAGCACTTTAGAAAAGTGCTAGGCTGGGCATTGGCAGATGGAAATGGAATGAATAATTCTAAATTGCAAGATTTAGAGAATGTGAAGTGACTCTCAATGTTCTTTTTCAGTTTAGGAATAAAGATCATTTTAAAGGGGATGTACCTGCTCCACTATTACCATGTGCTATGGTCAGTGTCTAGTCGTCCCCCCAAAGCCTCATGCAGTCATGGGGCAGCTTCTAGAGTTTCTGATTTATTCATGATCCAATGCTGGGATTATGGGTGCGAGTGCTGCACCCTCCCTGGGGTGGGTGATCTGCATACAATGTGGTGATTGGAGGGAGGCCTGCTAGCAGGCACAGCTGCTGCCCCACCGTGTGCTCTTTGCTGCTTTCAGCTGCCATGAATGGCTTTCCCTGCCATCTGCCACTCTGCCTTTGAGCCAGCTGAGTATGGACTGAAACCTCCACTGCAAGCTAAATAGCCCTTTCTTTCCTTAATTGTGGGTGTCAGGTATTTTGTCTCAGCAACAAGGAAAAAGTAACTGAGATACCATGAGGGAACAGATTTGTTTGGTAGACGCCCGCGAACAAGGACACATGAACAGATTGATTATACCTCTCACGTGTTGCATTCATGCCTGTGATAGGTAACACCAACTCAATCAAAGAATATTAGCATGTGGTTCTGTAAGAAATCACAATGTTAACATGGATCTTTTTTCTCAGAATACAGCACTAACCTTCAGGAGGACATTTACTCAGACACCTCAGGACACTTCAGAGATACTCTCATGAACTTGGTCCAGGTATGGCATTCCAAAATTCATACTACTTTATAGTATTAAAATGCATATATAGGCCTAAATGATAGCTCAGTGGAATAAGTGCTTGCCTGGCAAGCACAAGGTCCTGAGTTCAATCCCTGGTATAACAACAAAAAAAGCATACATAGCAGAAATCATGAGATTATTACAGTTCAGCAATAAATTCTGTGTAATAACATTTACTGACTATCAACAGTGCTCAATGTACTCAACTAGAAATGTGACGACTATAGAAAGAAATGTGAATGTATATCAGTTTGTTTGAGTAAGATTAATTACATTTTTTAAAGCTACTAAAGGAATTAACTGCTTATAAACTTTCCTGAGTTGAAACAACATGCCTGCTACTGTGTGTCAAGAAAAATATATTTCTTATTCAACAATATGCTATAATATAAATATTTTATAAGGCCTTTAGAAATGAAAAGAAGATACAAAGAATATAAAGTTTTAGCTCTTTGATGGTTTAAGGAGATAATAAATAGAAATACAAAATTTAATTGAATTCTATAGACTCCTAGAGCTAAGAGGATATCTGTGAGGCCAACTGAAGTTCTCCCATGCTATACATTACCAAAGCAGAACTCCACTTTAAATGAAAATTCTATTTTGGCATTTACCATGCTTTTCTGCATCAACTAAATAGCAGGTGATCATTCCTATTCAGTTAACTTTTTTTCATAAGAATTAATTCATGTTAATTGTCCAAGTTAATGGCTTTCGGCACATTTTCATATATGTCTATATCAAGCTTTGATCACATCCACTCTCCCCATCACCTTCTCATCTTGGTCTTCCTGTTCCCTTCACTGCACATTTCTTGAAAATATCTCATGTATTAGCACTATAATAGGAATATTTAAAGATACAATTATCTTTTTGTTTTATGCATATTCTCAAATATGCCTGTCATCCATTAGCAGGCATCCATCCGGGGAAGCAAGAGATGGTCAGTGTTCAGCCCTTAACAAGTAGAGTATCTAGAGACCCCAGCTGGAGAAAATGTCCTACATGACAATAATTTGGTTTGGTTTGGGGTGGGTGTGTGTGTGTGTGTGTGTGTGTGTGTGTGTGTGTGTGTGTGTTTGAAATATTAAGCAAGTGTTTCTAAATCTGTAAACTTTTCCTCCCCACATCAAAAGACATAACAGACTAATCAACAAAGGATTCCACTAAAAATCATAGATAGATAGGTTTTATACGTGAAAATATGGAATCAAGGAGATCCCACTGCCCCTAAAAACAGAAAAACAAATGAAAACTCTTTTCATCGGCAATGAAGGTGGAAGAGTGGTGCCTAGGATAGAGAAAGGCCCCAGAGGAGGAGACCTGGGTATGAATCATGTCCAAAGCCCTTGGGATCACAGGGACCCACAGTGAGGTGAGCAGCGAGAATCAACAGATAAAGATGCAAGCTAGTGTCTGCTGATGACATCTTTGTCCTTTAGCCATTTGGTCATCATCTATGATGATGCTGTCATGTCTACATTTGTGATGCCCCTTCCTCTTGCACAGCTCATTTTTGGCAAATTTACCCGCCTGTCAGGTTTTCATAGTTTAAAGAGCCCACTTACACTTCGCCTCGGTTTGGAGTTTGTTGAAAATGAGCATCCCTTAAAATTTGAAAGAATGATTATCTCTTCTTTTCAGTTGTATTTGACTCAGAATAATTTCTTTCTTTGCATCCACGCCATACTCTGCACCTCTTTTACCTTTCACAACTTAAAGACAATTGCTGCAAGATTCATTCAGACAGTAGAGCTAGCTGGGTGCTCCTGCAAGGCTGAGTGACAGAATGCCCTTGTCTTCTGAAGCCTTTGCAAGTTTCGATCACATTGCTTGCATTCTGCAGGTGGTTTCCTGATCTAACCCTTAAAAGCACCAAATTTCTACTTTTTCTCTCCTCTTTTATTTCTGCTTAAAAATCAATTGCTGGGCCAGCCAAATAGCTCAGCAGACTAAAGCACCTGCTTAGACAGACCCAGGGACTGGGGCGTGCCCAGCCGGCCCCATCCCCAGGGAGCACTGAGATGGCAACTGAGATTGATCATGGTGGTGCACACCTGTAATCTCAGCTCTTGGGAGGCTGAAAACAGAAGGATCACTGAGAGTCCTATCTGTGTAGTGAGACCCTGTAGACCCTGTACTAAATACATAAATGATAAAATAAAATAAAAATCAATTGCTTACTGACCACATCTCTTTCTCACCATACGTGGCTAGAAAATAATGTAATGCCATTTATTGAGCTCAGACAAAGACCAGGATATGTGGTACTGACCAGAGAGCAACTCTGCTTCAAAAAGTGAAACAGGTCACTGTTCTGCCACCTTCACACCTGACTTTTAAGGTCATTGTGTCTGTGCTCAACCTGCAGATGCAGAGAGACAGCGGAGTACTGTTTGTGAGCCTTGCTACCAGCTTTGCTCTGATGTGTGTAATTTTTGTTCAGGTTTCACTTGGTAAACTTCAAAGAGCCCTACTGAAAATCAAGGATGCCTGAAAAATATGGTCAATCTGTTTTTCTTCCAAAAAGTTGAAATCCATTTTTCAATCAGCTACCAGAGTACATCAAACTTGTAAAGCTAACTTTTGGTGAATACTATGCCAGAAGTGTCCAGTGGTCCTAGAGGTCATATGGATGAAGATGCCAACCAAAAAGGGAGCTCTGAACATGGCTCTACTAGGCACAAAGAGAGTTGCCAAGGGGTGGCGAACACAATCAAACAGTCAAATCGCTGTCTGTTCTGTCTTAAAAGTACTCTAAAGAGGAAAATATCTTGGCATTTCTATCCATTTTGTGTAGAATATATTCTTATTGAGTCAATATTTCAAATGATCTTTTAAACTACCAATACATGAAGGTTTCATGTTCTTACCTTTAATTTTATTTGTAGAATGATATTGTTGATAATATAAATATCAAAGACAAAACAAGGGAACTGGGAGATGGCTCAGTAGAATAAGCGCTTGTCTGGCAAGTGCAAGGGTCTGAGTTCAATTCCTGGTTCCACCAAAAAAAAAAAAAGTCAAAACAAAATAATACTGAAAAAGAAAAAAAAATGTGCTGTTTAATCTGAATGTGTCAAATCTCCATATAACTGCTGCTTCTAAAAATAATTAGGTTCTGCAATCAATGCTCCATTTTTGATCCTTTGTTTCTTCTTTCTGGCAAAAAGTATATTCAAAATATCTGATCAACCACATATATATGGTTGATATATTTACATATATTTTATTTTGTTGCTTTATTGCAGCAAAGAACCAAATAAATTAGTTTCAAAAATTCTAGTATCCAATTCAGCAATCATTTCCCATCTGACTTCAGGAGCTCACTCTTCAAAGCCCTCCACTCCATGAGAACTGCTCCCCTCCAAGTCTTCCAGAGCAATCTCTGCTGTATCTGATCAAACAGGATTGTGTTTGCTCATCCATTTTCCCAGTAGACCGAATTCCCTTAAACAAGGGAACCATTCCCCACTTAATAGCGCAACCCTGTGACTAAGGTTGTTAAGTGCTCTGCAGGTAACACACGCAAGCAGTTTCTACTTTGGGAAATAAATGACAAAGAATTGGTTATAGAAGTTGGAATGAATAAAACTCGATGCCAGATGGAATAAAGGTGAAGACCTTCTTGCCGAGAGTCTGTAGCAGGATCCTAGAGAGTGAGTGTCAGTCACTTGCTGGAAAGGAGGATAAGGGGGTTCAGGAGAGGGGAAATGGGGTGTAAGCATTAGAGTGTCTGACTGGAGAGCCAGCTCAAACGCTAGGCAAAAGAGATTTCTGCAAGCATGACAGAGCCCTTGAAAAATCTGGGGGCAGGAAATGACATTTTAAAGTTGTATAAATCATAATTATTAACCA